CCCCGCGGACGCGGGGCAGCTCTGCTTGCCGCTGGGATGCCCCGTGCCACACTTTCCCCAGATGAAACATTGCAGGCACCGAACATAAATCGCTCTAAAAATCCTTTTCCCACCCTCAGCCTGGCATCCCCCTTCCCTTGGGCTCAGCATCCTTCAAAAGCCCTCGGAGGCTTTGCTGGCCCCGCGGCGTTTTGCTGAGAAACCCCTCTGTTTTCTTCCAGGATGTGTCGGGGAACGCGGCGTTTTTGGCCTTCACCCCCTTTGGGTTTGTTGTTCTGCAGGGAAACAAGAGAGTTCACTTCATCAAGTGGTGAGTTCCCACCCCCGGCGCTCGCGGGGGCTGCGCGTGTCCCGCATCGCCCTGGGGTGCTGGGGTGAGCACCCATGGATGGGGTGCCTGGGTGATCCCAGCGCTGGGTGCTTTCCCTGGGCACTCACCACACCGGGGTAGGGGCGACGTTAAGTGCACCCAGTGCCCACGTCTGAGCCGGGATGGGGGCTGAGCGGAGGGCATGGAGGCGGGGGGGAGCGATGCTGCAGCCGCTGGGCTTCCCGGCCCCCAAGCCTGCTCCTGGTCCGTACGCATATTCTATGGATGCCCCATCATTGGCAGTGTTCAAAATCCGGCTGGATAGGGCTTTGAGCAATCTGTTCCAGTGGCAGATGTCCCTGCCCGTGGCAGAGGGTTTGGATGAGATGATCTTTGAAGGTCCCTTCCAACCCAAGCTCTTTGATTCTATGAAATCCACGCTCTCCATTTGCTTTGGTGCCCCCAGCCGCCTTATTGTCCACGTTTGCTGACATGAACCTGCATCACCCACGCGGTGGCCAAGCCCCCCCAGAGCCCCCCAAGCCCCTCTGAACCTGGCTGCGTTGTTCCTCGCTGCATCTCACACTTTGGCCGGTGTGTCCCTCGCAGCCGGTGTTGCCACCCGGCCGGTGCCCGTGTGGCGAGGTCCCCGGTGACTCCGGGACAGCCCGCTGACCATCAGCTTCACCCCAGGGCACCCCCCTGGCCCCAGCTGCTGGGTTCGGAGCTGGGGCTCCGCTCACCGCCCCATGGTGCCTCCCAGGGTCTGGAGCTGCCCCGCTGCCATCCCCAAGGCGCCAGCTCGGGACCTGCA